CTGCCTGTGTATAGACAGGATAGAGTTCTCATACTTGATCAACGGTAAACGCACTATAACAATCCAAAAATCACACAATTTTGGTCAGAGTTAGTTAACTTAAAGATCATTTTGGTCTGATTTATTTAATTTAGAAATAATTTTTTAGTTGTTTAGGAAGTTGTAATTTTTGAATTGCTTACCATATAAAATTAAATGTTAAAACTTGTATGAATAAAACATATGCAACCTACATTTTCTAGAGAAAAACATTCATAATGTATTATTTCATGTCTTCATTATAAAATACATCTATATTTAGAAAGGTTCATTATTGTGTTGCGGTATTTGAAATACGTTTCCATTGGGAACATCTATGTAACTTCAAAAGGAAAAAGAAATTTCTTTCAAGACTGAAAAAGAAAGTATCCTGACTTAATATATTCTCTGAAAGCAATGTAAAAAAAATTCTATTTCCTTCCTGTGTCAATCAGTAAGAGGTTAAAATTAATATTTCTTTGAAGAACTGGAGCCATGTAACGAATTTTTTCAATAACTACGATAAAACATGGAATCTCTACTTGGTTACACACACACACACACACACAACATCAGCACTTAGATGTTCTGCAGCCAAGCAAATTTGAGCATCTGATCTGAGCCCCCCACTGAGTCTCCTTTAATCACAACAATTTAATAGCATAGCATTCACACCACATTAATCCATTCTTCACCTTTCACCCATGGTCAGCATATTGGAAACCCAGCATTTATATATGTACATTTTCACTATTCATCAATACTTAATTCTGTGTTAGTAGTATATGGCCAACATAGTACATACATTGTCAATTCAATCTTCAAATATACTTCATCCAAAGATGAAACCGGACAAATCTAGTACTTATACAAGGTAAATCCAGTCTTATTATGCATGTTGATTTAATTTTATTGGGTATTACACAAAATGTTATTTCTATTGTTGCCACTAATTTATTCATTTAACCTCTTAGCCTCATACAAAAATAACCAAGTCTTGCATGTTTGCTTAGATGTTCTTAAAAAAAAAAAGGTTAATATTAACTTTTAAAATTTATTTTAAACACTATCTTGTCAAACTGACAAACGCTAAAGTTTTGAATATTAAACAATTCCTTATCTTAATATGCAGACAGGCATGGTCGTGGCTAGTTATGAGGTTCAGACCTCTGTTAAAATTTGATGTAATGTACTATTTAATATTACCCTGAAATACTGTGGAATGACCCACATGGAAAAGGGATATAATGTGTAGGGCTGACCCTATGTGCTTGTTGGTGTTTGGACCTCGAGTAAATTCTCACTCTAATTACAAACATGAAAACAGGCATTTAATATTTTGAAAATCCTCTAAACAAACCTTTACAAATACATTTTCCACAAACTCTTACCTTGGCAAGCTGGTCTGCACCAAGTTTTTTTCGAAATACACTTTCCATAAACCCTTACCTTGGCAAGCTGGTCTGTACCAAGTTTTTTTGAAATACACTTTACATAACCCTTACCTTGGCAAGCTGGCATGTTCCAAGTTTTTTGAAATACACTTTATACAACCCTTACCTTGGCAAGCTGGCTTGCACCAAGTTTTTTGAAATACACTTTCCATAAACCCTTACCTTGGCAAGCTGGCCTGCACCAAGTTTTTTCAAAATAGACTTTACACAACCCTTACCTTGGCAAGCTGGCCTGCACCAAGTTTTTTGAAATACACTTTCCACAAACCCTTACCTTGGCAAGCTGGTCTGTACCAAGTTTTTTTGAAATACACTTTACATAACCCTTACCTTGGCAAGCTGGCATGTTCCAAGTTTTTTCGAAATATACTTTCCACAAACCCTTACCTTGGCGAGCTGGTCTGTACCAAGTTTTTTTGAAATACACTTTCCACAAACCCTTACCTTGGCAAACTGGCCTGCACCAAGTTTTTTCAAAATACACTTTCCACAACCCTTACCTTGGCAAGCTGGCCTGCACCAAGTTTTTTCGAAATACACTTTCCACAAACCCTTACCTTGGCAAGCTGGCCTGCACCAAGTTTTTTCGAAATACACTTTACACAACCCTTACCTTGGCAAGCTGGTCTGTACCAAGTTTTTTCGAAATACACTTTACACAAACCCTTACCTTGGCAAGCTGGCCTGCACTGAAGTTTTCTCCCAATAAACTGCTTGGTAGAATATCATGTAACAAACCTCGTCTTGTTCTAGGAGGAAACATTGAAATACATAACTGAGTTTTGTTAAGAATAGTGTTCACAGCAATTAATTCAACACATACACAATATTGGTTATTTACATTAGCACTAAATGAACATCAAAAAATATATTTTATTTACTTCAGTTAAAGCACATGTCTTTTCTATGCCAGTGCACAAGTTTGGATTGTCTGCATACATGTAAATCACAGACAACTGAGTAAACTTCAAAACCAATATATCTTCTTGCTACTGATCTCTTTGTGTCTACCATTGTTATTAAAACAGACTAAGTAAATTTAGCATCATCTCATTGTAATAAAAATCCACAGTTTCAAAATATTTTTGCACACTTTGGTATAATTGTATAATTTCTATTAATTTGAGCTAAAAATTATTTTATAAGAATTTTTTTCTAAAAAACAAACTTTCAACATTCGTACATTTATGGTAATTAAAAAGTATCAAACAGATATGTTAAGATTATCAGTTCATCACTATATTATAAATAACAACTCTTAACATTGTTCCAATGAATACATTATTGCTGCCAAGTTAATGAAGTTTGAACTTAATGAGGTTATTAAGTATTATTATAATTTTCAACTGCCTACACTTCTTTCTAAATGTAATAAAACACAGCGTATCCCCATCGTCTTTGTGACATAGAAATAAGCATTAAACACAATGTTATAATGGCCTTTTTAAGTCTTTGACAACCGGTTGGGTCCTTAATGAATTTTATTTTGTGGTTCTTAGACAATTTACTTGCCCTAGGGGAATTCCTGGTAATACAATTATTAGATAAAGTTGAGACGTATTTACCAACTGGCTGAATCCTTAGTAGTTTATATTATCTTGTCACTATATGATTTTAATTGGCCAAAAGGAAAACCCCAATAGTGAAAGGATTAAATAATTAGAAGAATATATTTGATTGGTCATTCATTAAAGTTTATCATTTTATCATAAGTATCAACATAGATGACGAAGTTCAGAGTAGTACAAACATTAATATTTTAATTTAATTTAAATATAAAAAAATGAAATGAATATAAATAATTAACACTGAATTTTCTGTCTTGTTTAGTAAACAGAAAATCTTTTTTATTCTTCTTCATTGAAATTGTGATTTATGTTAATATATTACAAATCTGATAGTAGGGTTTTTTGCATGAATTCTCTTGTATTGTAAGTATGAGTGAAAGTTAAGAATATATATATATATTTAGTGTTTCTACAATAAATGTAACTCTGGTAGTTTTCTAAAAAACAATTACTGAAACAAATGTACCACTCAAATGGTTCATACTAATTATTATCAAATTATGATAAAGGCAAGTTACATACATATATCCACAAAATAAAATAATCATTATATATAAGAAGCAAAAACTGAGCAATCAACAGAGTTCAAAGAATGGACATCAGTACATTATAGATTCATTGCTCTCACAATGAGCTACTCAACAATAAACCAAAAGAAATTCAGCTTACAAGCCAATTCACCTCACATATATATATAATGCCAGCTCAAGTTCAAAAACTGAAGGGTGCAAAAAATAAAACATTGCACCCTTTTTCAAATTTATATATGTTTATTTTTCTGTACTTTAAAAATTTTAAATAATTTTTTCAAAATTCAGAATACAGAATACAAAAATGATACATAGTAGAAAAATACTAACAAAAAAAATAAAGATTAGTAATTAGAAAATTTAACTTTATGAGTTTTTAACATGGCAAAAATTTTCCTTAATGTTCCATATTAATTTCTCTGGCTGTTTGATTTTCTGAAAAATTACTGTTAGACTGTTTAATTTCTCTTGTTCCATTGTAGAATGCAAAAATGTTTTTATCAGCTGTCGTCTCAAAAATGATCTGTTGCCACTTGCCACATTAAAAGCAAAGTTAATAAATTATAGAGCAATAAATGTACTTGGAAAAATTTATTTGATTTGGTTTTCTTTTCACGTGTGTAAGGTAATACCTGATATAGAGGTGAAATTTTCAAGTATCAGATGCAGTATTAATTTACATTCTTCACACAAAATTTCACCACAAATATTCTTTTTCTCTTTGCTTGTTAGTATTTTTTTCTAAAGTTTTACAATTTTTGCACCCCTAAAATTTTGCGGTGGGTTCTTTGAGCCCTTCGATTCTGCCTGGAGTTGGCCCTGGATATATAAATGCTTAATAACTTGGCAAACACACCAGACCTGATGAAAGCAAATGGATGATTGTTTAAATGTCATCAAGCTCGCTAGACTCAAGGCAACATGTCCACGTATATGTATCAGATCATAATTAAACTTTGTTATCTTGGCTAAATTGCTGGAAACAAATGTATTATGTGGTTATATTGGTCTGCATGTTCACATTATAAAAACCAAAAAATATATTCTAATGTGAAAGAATCAATATTTTCTTTATTTTACGCACAATAACTAATAAGCATTGTTCATTTTGCAGTACAACACAAGTTGTCCAGACTACATTTCAATAACCAGTACAAGTTGTCCAGTTTATGTTATAATAATCAATAAATGTTGTCCAGAAGTACATTTCAACAACCAGTTTATGTTGTCCAGTTTATGTTATAATAATCAATGAATGTTGTCCAGTTTGCCATCTTAATTCACAATTATGTTTAAATGAAGAATAACCAGAAATCTAAAATAATGCAGAATATGTCACAATGTTTTAATTCTAAAAGAGTAATCATGTTTTCATACCCATATCAGTACCAGTGATATCCTCATCTTCTAAACCGAGATCTGAATACATTTTTATGATCTGGGTGTATGAATATTTTGTGTAGGAAAGGACCATTACATAGCCTCCTCATAAGCAATAAATTTTCTCTGGCATTACTGGGTACCTATGAAATGCCAATCAATGTGGAAAATGTAGTTCTTATACAAGTTGTTTTGCTGTGATTATGTCAGCTGTGGCAGTCACATGACTTATTTGGATATCTCAAAATAGTTTTAATATAATGTACTGAACTTTCTGTAAATCTAAGACTTTAATAATGCCCATATTATCTACCTTAGTAGAATCCAGACACGACCATTTTCTGCTTTATTTTCTACTTTTAATGACATCACTAAGTGTCCAACGTTAGGATCAATGGCAGTGAAGTTGAAGTGATCCTACAATGAAATGATACAGTATTAAAACAGCAGACCCATATCCTCGTATCCTAAAGCATTTAAAACTCATAAATAATTGAAAAATAGTAACCTTCTGGTTTGAAAGCATTGATATATTTACATGGAATTTAAAACGAAAATTGTCTTTTAAACTTTCAAGCACAGCTTCCTAAAAAACAATCAATAATATGACATACAAAACAACAATAATCACAGTTAATGCCTCACTGTGTGAAAACTTAATACATTCTTTAATATTACAGTACATATCCAAAACACAAGTAATTAGAAAAGGTTTTATACTGGATAAAAATAAATTATAATATGATTATGATGTATTATTTTAGAAAAAGTTTAAACAGTACATCATTGGACTCAAAATTCCAACATATAATATTTATTACACATGGAACTAAGAAGTAATAAACCGAAGTTATTATACATGCATCTTTATTCTTCTTTATTAAAAACCATTTTGAATTTGACAAGTAAATAACACTAATTAATCACGTGTCTAACGAATCATTAAAGCTTTTTTTGAAAATTCAAGTTAAACTATTTTATACATTATCATTAGCAAAGTATCTAAATTGCTCATTAAGATTAAAGCTATAAGCTGGGTAAAAGAGGCTCTATTAATTCACTTACTGTGCCCAGAAATATCTTGCGGTAAATACTTGGGGTATCATCAAGCTCAAGTCGAGGAGACCACATGTACTCAGGGGTAACAGAGTTTCCCTCCGAGTCCAGTTGGTATTCGTGGTTTGTGCCATCAACCCAATAGCCGCCTGATGGAGGAATAACTATCATTGGGTATGGTTGAGGATGACGAAGAAACTAAAACAAATGTGATGACAGCAAATTAAGTGAACATTGAATAAAAACTGTATTATTGCAAGCACTGAGAGAAAGAAAGTCTCTGACTGATCCCCGTAAAGTCTTCTAAAATTCAATCAAAACTTGACTTCAGTTACCTATTATGTTTGTCAACAAACCAGTGTTCACGTGAGTCATTCTGCTAATCCTACAATCTTCTTTATTTCAACATGTACAGGCATCAATCTAACACCACACTTACAGAACTTCTACTGTGTATTTATCAATTAATTATTGATTTATTTATAAACACTAAGTACGATATATAATAGAACACATTTAACACAGAAAATATAGTCTTTAAGGCATAGTTTAAGCTAAAGTGATCCAGAGACTTAATCTAAGTATTGGTATGTCCTACATATACATCAGCATAAGCAATTTTTTTATGATACCAACTTTATAGTTTTAACATTTTTATTTAACTTTTATAGACTTGAACTTAATGCACCATGAAAGTTTTAACTAAATTAACTTCGGTATCTCTCACCTCATTCAACAGGTCTTGATCGCTTTTCTTCTTCCGTGATGAATTCTTAAGGAAACATATGATATTACATTAAAAGTGAAAATTGTTCATTTACAACTAGTATAATTAGAAATTAATCAAAAAAATTCTCTAGTGTGTGTGTGTGTGTGCGCAAAGTTGTTATAGAAAAACCTCATCAGGCTATCTGTTGTGTCCACCGAGGGGAACTGAGCCTCTGATTACAGCATTGCAAATCCAAAGACTACTGTTGTCCCACTGAGGGACTTTTCTCTAGCAACTGTGCTACTTCAAAATATAAGTACATGTATTCTCCTAATAGCACAATAAAGGTTCTCTTAGTATCTCTGCATAAGCACAAATGAAGGGAAGCTATCATTACTACTGAAACAAAAGTTATCTACGAGTTTACATGATCAGACTTTAGGTGACCATTTTTTATATTTATAAAATAGTCATTTTAGGATCTTCACACCTCTCAGTATAAAATAACAGAATTGATAATAAACATCTGAAAACTTAGTTTTTTAACCAACCAAGTGCTTTTTGGAGTTTACATAAAGAATTTCTTTCAACATGATAAAAATATTTCTGTGTTAACAGACTATATGAGACAGGTAAAGTTATTCATTAATGTATACACAATACTTCTTCAGGCATGATAACATATTTCTATATGTACAGAAAATCTTGGACAGGTAAACCTATTCATGAGTGTATACAACGAATGTTTTTAGACATGATAAAATATTTCTATATTAATAGACTTTCCAGGACAGATAAAGTTATTAATGAGTGTATACAAAGAATTTCTTCAGACATGATAAAATATTTCTATATTAACAGACTTTCCAGAACAGATGAAGTTATTAATGAGTGTATACAATGAATTGTTTCAGGAATGATAATTGTTTGTTTCTTGTTAAGCACAAAGCTACACAATCTGTGATGCACCCACTACGGGTATTAAAACCTAGTTTTTAGCATTATAAGCTTCGGGGTTTGCCACTGAGCCACTGGGGGGCATCCAGATTTTACACAATATCTAGGACAGAGATAAATTTATTCGTGAGTGTATATATATGGAATCACTTTAAATAAGTCAAATTTTTAAAGAGTATAAAAAGATAGTATTATATATCATACACATAAATATATATTATGTCATATATAAATATATATTAATATATATTAAAACCTAGTTTTTAGCATTATAAGCTTCGGGGTTTGCCACTGAGCCACTGGGGGGCATCCAGATTTTACACAATATCTAGGACAGAGATAAATTTATTCGTGAGTGTATATATATGGAATCACTTTAAATAAGTCAAATTTTTAAAGAGTATAAAAAGATAGTATTATATATCATACACATAAATATATATTATGTCATATGAAAATAAATTATCTTACTCTCTTGTCAAAAAGATTATCACACTTGAAGTTTTCCTTAACAGGCTTAAGAAATTTCCTTTAACTACTAACCATACAAAGGGCTTCTTGAATGATTTCATAATTTCACAAAACTAAAAAAACTGAAATCATTCCCAGTTTGCCCCTGAAAAAGAAAGGTTCACCTTTTAAAAGCGTTCGGGTTACAGGGTTTTTATTCATTTCCATCAAGATTTCTTGAACCTATGTGTTTTTCGAACATCATGAAATCATTCCAATAATAATGATACATAATACTACTTCTAGTGTCAACATCCAACGGATAAGAGTTTTTTTGTTTATAAAAAACTTGATTTCAGAAAGACAAAAATATACAGCAAGTATAAGCTTCTAAACAACCAAAAATGTCAATAGATTGACTGTTATAAATTAATAGCTTAAAGCAGAGATTCCCTAACTGTGGTCTGTAGCCCTCTGGGGGTCCACAATAGTACTTAAGGGGGTCCACAGTTGTACATTAAATTTATGAAGTTACCATTTACTGAAAAAGTAATGAGTAAAATAAAATGTGAGGTTTCTTTCAACTTGCTAAAATAAAATTGAAATATAGAAATTAGATAAATGTAGATCCAGATCTTTGTTTGAAACTGTCAGACATTGACCCAGAAATTTGCAAGATTGTTTCAGGAAAGCAGTATCATCCTTCACATTAAAATATTTTGTTTGTTTGTTTTGAATTTCGCACAAAGCTACACGAGGGCTATCTGCCAGTCACCATAATGCCAATTGCAGTCACACTAAAGTGTGTTCATTAAACACACATGCACCACAAGTAATTGAGAGAGCTAAGGTTAAATTAATGAGTAATAAAATTGTTTTATTTTTTGATAGATTAATTAACGTTCAGGTAGGAGTTCATTGATAAGGTAGAATATCTAATGACAGCGGGAATTTATGAATTTACAACCCTTAAATCCGGGATTCGATTCTCCACATTGGATACAACAGATAACCAAATATGGCTTTGTCGGAAAAACCAAACAAACAAACAAATATTTAATGATTGATGTTAGAATAATTATATTTTGCGAAAATTTGCAATGTAATATTTCCGGTGTGTTTATTTTAGAGAAAGCCACATTTGGGTTATCTGCTGTGTCCACTGCGGGAAACTAAACCCCAGATTTTAGTGTCGTAAGTTCGCTGACTTACTGCTGTCGCACTGGGGGAACAATGTTTTCGGATCAGTCAAAAATATAGTTAGAAAAAATATGTGTGTGTGTGTGTCCTTTTTCAGACCAAACAAAATTCCAAATTTGTTTTTTTATTATGTTATAAGATTAATAACAAACTGGTTTGGTGTGAATTTCACGCAAAGCTACATGAGGGCTATGTGCGCTCGCTGTCTCTAATTTAGCAGTGAAAGACTAGAGAGAAGGCAGCTAGTCATCACCACTCCCCACCAACTCTTGGGCTACTCTTTTACCAACGAATAGTAGGATTGATCATCATATTATAATGCCCCCACGGCTGAAAGGGCAAGCATGTTTGGAGAGATGGGGATTTTGAACCTGCGATCCGCAGATTGCGAGTCGAGCTCCCTTACCACTTTTGTCTAAAGCTCCTGGCAATATATCCTTTGAAGTTACAATTAAAACAATTATTGTCTGTACATATATATATATATAAAATAGTAATTTATTCCCTCCATTTCGTGTAACTAATCCTTTTCATTCTTCATGATTGATGATTCAGTGTTGCTTGATCAAATGATTCTATAACTTCGAGATAGAATCTTTAGTTGTTTCTCTGCATCTTTAATTAATTCTAATTCCATTGCCAACTGCAGAGCTTCCTTTAAAGATAGACACCTATTTTGCTTCAGCCAATTCTCATACATTTGTTATGGCATCTATAAATTGGTGTCAATGAATCCATCATTCCACAAGAAGCATCCAGGTAAGATAATTGATAAAGCCTTTTCAAATCATCTGCAAGTTCAGCTAAGGTCTCTTCTTTCCTCCGTACCATTTCAGATTTTGGCTCTGTTACTCCAAAAAGACAGCTATCAATGCTTGTTAGTTGGTACAGCTCTTAGTTGAATGGTTACTCAATGTCATTAATTTGGTCCTTTTAAATGAGCGGTATGGTGAATAAGTTGTTATTTACTATTTCATCTGTTCACTATGGAAATTTATTTTGAACAGAGCATGGTATACCTCCTATATCTTGCCATCAAATGTCCAATGATTCTTAATTAGCCAATGTTGAACTGGTCATTTAATTTCTGGAGCTGGATTTGGTAGTGTTAGAACTAGAGTAGTCTATGAAGGTCCTTCAGTAATAGGTGGCACAGCAGTAGTGGTGATAGGTGTAAACCAAATAAGTTCTCCTTTTCCATATTTTACACCCGATGGTATTTTAGGTTGGGACTGTTTAGCCAAGGAAGAAACAGGTGTGGCTGGTTTAATGTTTTCATTTGATAATTCGTTTTGTGGATGTTTTATTCTATCCCTGATGTTATTTTCCACCTTGTCCTTCTTTACTTCATCAATTTTGTCATTACTTTCTTTATTTCACTGATGCTCTATTGTACTTCTTTAATCTTATCATTACAACCTTTCTGTACTTCTCTGATGTCCTTCTACATTTCTTCAAACTTGTTGTAATCCCTCTGTATGCTCCCTCTAGATTTATTGATCTTCTCTCCAATCAGATTTAACTATTCTTTAATTAATTTACCTATTTCTTTTGACTATTCTCTTCAATTCCTGTCTCTTACATCTTTATCATATTTCTATTTGCTGTATATTTTTTTCTGGTCTTATTTTAATTTTCTATCTTTTTCTTCTAATTTATGGTTTCTTTCTTCTTGGGCTTTTTTTTTAATAATTCCAACATGTCTAGCAATGCTTGTATCTCACTTCTTGACTGTGTGGTAAAAGTAATTTCACTCCTGACACCTATGTTGTAATGTTACTCTTTTATTTGGTGGGTTCTTTTAAATTATCATGTGAAAATATGGACAAGTCCAGTTCATGTAAAGTTAATAAGTATATTTCTTCTTTAACATTTCTACAAGCTCATATACTGTTGTAACTTGTAATCCTATGTTTACAAATGATGTTCAAATGGAAATACCTCAATAATGTTCAACAAATAATGTAAAAAAATAAACTTAGTAGAACAATCTACAGTTAACTGATTGAGTAACTGAATATATATGATAGCTAATGATGAATTAAACTAACTCAATTCTCATTCACTATTTACCACTAACTGAGAGCAAAACATCAATTCTTGTATATATTATAACCTAGCCTTGTTTCTAGATATGTTCTAGGCCTACATCTACAAACTTACATATTAACATCATGAAACTTCTAGCTAACATTTTGATTAAAGCATTGGAAATATACCTTACAACAATATTTTTCAAGTGCTTTAAATAATACATACTAGTAAACTTCTTTATTAATTATCTATGATTTTATTTTTGCAAATAAAAATTATTCTATAAATGTATTTTTGAGGTAAGGTAAAGAAAATCAAAAATGTATGAAATATATTTTTTAACTAATACATATATAAGTGTAATTCTACTTTGTAACTCAAAATGTTTTTTATTAATTTTCAAATAAAAGACAAAAATGCAA